CAGGTGATCTACACAGCATAGCTCTGATTGCACTGTATCTATCATCACGTGATGTTGGGAAAATAATAACCACCATCTGGATCTGTAGCAAAACCAAAATCATATTACTTGTAGACTGTTTTCAGCAAAACACATTTGAGTTAATTTAAGTTCAAATACAACATTGTCTTGACAAAAAAATATAATAGCATTTCAATTGTCTGAGAACGTTGTTTCATTAACCACATACCATGGTTTTCCACATTTAGAAGAAACCACAAACACAAATAACAAACAGAAGGGTTGAATATTTATGTCAACAAAAAAAGGCAAAAATATTTTGTGGTTTTATAAAGCAGTATTTCAGCTGTTATATCTCTGCTGTATAGTTGGAAAATAACATTTTTTACAAAAAATTACAAAATATTCACTAAAATTAGAAAATTGAAGATATCATGAAATGAACAAATCTGAGAGGTTTACCCAAAGTATATACCATACTCAACTGCGTTAGCGCCCATAACTGGTCAAGCACCCACGCGCGCTATTTTTACATTCTTGTTGCATTCGGCAAAGCGCCCACCCCTTCAAAATGCCACTAATTTGAAACTTGGTCTATGATCATTGTTTAACGAATACTGGTAATCGTTCTTATATGATACTGCGTGGATATCGTCCACCGTGAATATGTTGTGAATGCGTAGACCACGGTAACTGTGGGTAGACTACACTTCGACAATGACCCGTTAAAAGTAAAATGCAGTAAATATTTCATGCCATATTCAGTTTACTTATGAAGAATTGCTAGTTACTAGTTTTTTGAAACAAACCATGTTCATAGTATCAAAGCAAGTAGACGTGCAGTTTTCAAGAAAAAGTTAAACATGTAAAGTAATAATCTTCAATTTACTCAAGTTTCCTTAGCATCAGCTCACCTGCTGGTTTAAACTCTCTCTGATCGTTCTCAGATAAGTCTCTGTTCTATCATCTCTTATTTCTAACTGCAATGGGTTATTCACTTGGATACCCATCTGTGGAGCAACTTGTTTCATCATCTGAATAAAATCCATGGCTTTGTTGGAATCTCTTTTTGTGAAAACTACCATCCAACTTTGTAAATGCACCTGCAAAACAGACAATACAGCGTTATTTCAATATATTTGGAATTTGGTAATCATCTGTGTTTCAGACTTTAACAGTTTAACAAATTTTATTCTTTAAACTCATGTACTTCAAATAATAACATAATCACTAATAAGTAAATTAGGCAAGGGGTTTTTCAACCCGCCTATTCACATAGTTCATACCCATCACAGACTCCGGTCAGTCAAAATGACTATTTTGAACTGTAGGCATTAATCTGTGAGAAAACTAGGTTAGGAATAGCCCTACGACCTAATAGATTTTCCCCCATGTCATGTAACCTGTGACCAAGGTCAAGAGGTCAGCGACCATCTTGCCCCGTGTTCACTACCCTGGTTTTTGCTGTATACGAGGACTTAAAGCCAATCGCTACAGAAAGTGGGATGAAACTATGTGAACTACATTCAATTACCCACCATAGACTCCATTCAGTCAAAATGACTGCTCTATAGCCTATGTGCAGGGATCCCTGTGGCCATCCAGGCTGGGTCAGTATCCAAGCCTGATATATGTGGCCATGGGTTCGAAAAGTCTCCTTGACGTTTGTAGAAGTGCAAAAGTTTTGACTTTGACCCCGGCCAAACGTATGCCAGTCACCCGTCGCAGACGGAAGCATCATACTTGCTTTGCCCGCGACCTGGGTGGACAACCACCCGAGGAAGAAGAGGGTCCACCACCTGCCCTTTCTTCCTGGGGGTGTGCCGCCATTCTTCTCGCCCCAGGAAGAGTAGGTTGCTTCTGGCCAGCGAGTGCTGACTTTGGTAGTTGCATTTTCACAGCTTTGGGTCCTATTCGCTTGCCCTAGGCAGCAGCCAACTTGCTCGCAGACTCCACCTGTACCATCTGGTCGGTGGCCTCCCAAAGCTTTGAAACTGCACCCTCCATTTCCCCATCAAAAAGAGTAGAGGAGGTCCAGTCTGCGTAACTGAGGTGGTGATGCACCCGTGACTCAGTTGCGGCCAAAAATACAAGCTGCCAAAACAGCATCCCACTATACAGAGGTAGTCCCTGCCAAGAGAGCCAGATGATTATCACACATAGCCGTGCGATGTCCCACCAACAGCTGTGTCTGCTGGTCTAGGAGGCTGGTGCGTTCCGTCTCCGACACTTCCGAGTCCTGGGGACGCAACATAATCACGGTCCAGTGTGCTCCAGTGTCCACAAACTCCAACAACAGCCTATCGGCTGAGATAGCTCCGCTGTTAGCAATGCACATTTCAATTAAAGAACTGAAGATGTCATTAGAAAATGAACAATATGTATAGTATCAAAGCAACAGGACTTGCTGTTTTCAACAAGAATTCAAAAATATCACTTTTCACCAAAAATAATCATCAAAATTAGATAATTGAAATTATCACCATGAAATTAACAAATCTGAAAGAGTAGTACTGAAAGACACATGTAGTACCTATATATGTAATATAAAAGCAATCAGACCTGGGGTTTTCAACAAAAAGTCAAAAATATCACTTTTTACCAAAAATGACAAAAATATTCATCAAAATTAGAGAATTAAAGATATCATTACAAAATGAACAAATCTGAGAGGACCACATGTAGTACCTATACATGTAATATCAAAGAAATTGGACTTGCGGTTTTTAACAAGAAGTCGAAAATATCACTTTTTACCAAAAATGACAAAAATATTCACCAAAATTAGAGAATTAAGGATATCATTACAAAATGAACAA